CTAAAGGAGGAGAATTGGAGCTGTAGTGACTGAGTCGAGGTTTTTAGAACCATTCTGCCTGCGTAAGGGAAACTCTGGAGGGGAAGCACTCAGGAGTGATTGATCCCTAAAGTTGCTTTTGAAAAGAGCCCCTGGAAGAAACAGCACATGGGGCAAAGGGGTGTGTGTGTGTGTGAGAGAGAGGGACTGCTGAAACTAGCTGCATGGCACAATAATGTGTCCTTTGAAAGATCCCAGCTTTCTGTGTGCAGCCACATTTCCTGCATCCCTACAAGCTGAGGCAGCCGCGTTGTTCCCATCATGGTCCAAAAAAACCCCAAACATCAAATTATTCTGCTCCTTACAAATCAGCTGTGAAAGAACGCTGGCGCTAAAAGTGTAAGGGACTGACAACTCGCCCTGAAGTCTATGGGTGTCTTTCCACTGACTTCAATGGGATTTGGATCAGAGCCATCATTCATAAAGACCTGGAGACTCTCAGATAAGATAACCAATGGGAATTCCTGTTCATTGGCAAACCTTTAATTTGTAATAACCAAATAGTGACTCTGTGGAATGCTTGTGAATAGCGGGACTAGCTGTCGTAACTGCAGAGTAAGGAAGGCCCAGCCATAGGACGTGTGTTAGAGTTTCTGACAAACAGCTCAGCTGTATCTACACACAAAGCGGGCCAGGATGCAGTAGGCCTTTACTTTGCTCTTGTTACCGTTGAGCAGTGACGCCGTTCAGAGAGTGTTTCACGCTCTGTTGCAGTTTTCAATTGTGGAATAAGTTAATGACCGGAGATCCTGCCTGTTTTGATTCAGCATGAAGTCAATGAATGTGGCGATGGTTTGACACCCAACTGAGATGTGGGCAGTGGTGAGCCCAGTGCGCTCCACAAAGAAGAGGGAGGTTTTCTATTGGTCTGTATCACTGTGAGCATGGCCAGTGCCAGCTTTGGTGACTATAGTAATCTCCAGCATCATCTGCCTCAACAGCACTTACTATGAGAGTGAAATCAGTCCCAGACCCACTGCCACTGAATCAGGTGGGATCCCCGGAAAGATAAATAAGGAGCTTTGGAGCGTGCCCTGATTTTTGTTGGTACCTAGGCATGTTACTGCCAGCGCTAGAACTAGCTTTGCCGCTTCTAGCAAATTTGTCTCCTACAGACGCTGTTTGGGATTCTGGAGTCTGCGTCATCACAATCTCTCCATAGGGGTCTGGATGTAGAAGGAAAATCCATAGAGACCTCTGACATGTTGTTACAATGACTAAAAGCTCAGGACTGTTTTTAGAGACAGGTGAAGAACGTATTAAGGTGTAATTCATAAAATACCGAGATGTTATTTTCCATATTTTAGATGTTGTTCCTGATGCTACGTTGCCTCAAAGCCTATGTCGTCATTATTTTATATCTGGAATGCACAATACAGGTACCCAGAGAATCAGTCTGTGAGATCATCTTAGCAGCTCTGGAGTTGGCACAGTGATCAGGTACCTGTGTGGTCTTAACAGGCGCTCAGAAGCACAATGAACAGATGTCGTTTGCATGTGACCATGCAAAGCTCCTGTAAATGCACTTCCTATCTGGTGTTTCAAAACATTCACCTTTGACTGGGTGGTTTAGTTTTACCAGCCTGGATTGTACCCTGGAGATCTGTGCACTCAGCTTCCCTTCCAGGCATGGATCTCCCCATGACTGTGTGCAGGGATGATCCAGCTGCCGCCAAGCCACCTTCCCCATTTCCTCTGCACTCTATGCAGGGTTTGCTCTGGTTCTGGAATCTGCATGGGAGAAGGTGGTGGAGGCTGGGCAGGTGGAGGGGAGGAGTAGGTGGGCAGTGGGTGGGACCAGAGAGTTCACACATCGCCTCCTTCCAGCCCTATAGAGAATTCTTGGAAGGGACACTCCAGCCGCAGTGTCAGGGCAGTGACAAGGAGCCTGTGCTACAGTCAGCCTGTCCCGGGTGTAGAGGACTGTGAGACTGTGAGAATATTCTCACCAGCAGTATTTTGCTCTGGGATTGTTTGCAGAGAGATTCAACTCCTGATTCAGCTGAGTGCACATTACTATCAAGAGACATGCTACCAACACGTATAAAGAGCTCCTACCGATGTCTCACCTCAATCCACGATCCAGGCAGGCACATTTATAAACCCTTTACTTTACCAACTATGCCTTTTAGAGGTTTTAAACAGTGATTTGTGTCTTTGCAAAACTGGTGCTTCTGATTGATTTAGGCATTGAATATTGCCTGTAGCCAGGGTATTGCAGTAGAATCCAGTCTGATTTCTTTCACAAGGGCACCGCTATTGGCCGTCACTCAAGAAAAGTTGCCCTCATAATTTCTGGAACAGATTAGAACGTTTATTGTTGTTACCCCCATCCTCATTGCTTCCATCTGAGTCACCAAAGCACTGACTGGATGGGACTTTTCTGATGAGTGATTCCATGTGCATCATTCTAGATATACTATTTCATGTCCTGGACAAACAAAAAATGAGTTCAGATTACGGTTGCTCAGTCATTCCCCTGCCTACACACCAGCTGTGAAAGAATGCTGGAGCTAAAACCTCAAGGGCCTGATTTCAGAGCTCATTGAAGTCTATGGGGGACTTTCCTCTGACTCCAGTGGGCTTTGGATCAAGCCCATAATTCATATAGCTGTGGAGACTCTCAATGAACATTGTCATTGAACATAAACTCTGATTAGCTGACACTTAATTAGTAGATGTCCTAACTGATTAGCGACTCGGTGGAACACTTGTGTATTCACTGTGAATTAGAGCCCTTTGATGATCTTTGGAGATGGATTACAATTCAGTGGCTGTTTTGGACACCTTATTGATGATGTGTCTGTGATTAGTTCTGTTTGAACTCGGGCTCTGCTGCAATTCAGCTGCCAGATCCTGATATTTGGCTACTTCCCAGTAACTCTTCCAGCATCTGTCTGAGGTGGTTGGGTAGGAGGAGGCACCCGCCTGTCCCTGTGGCCAGTGTGGTCACTGTCTTTCATTTCTTCCTCCTGGCCAGATTTGTGGTGGTCCAGGCCATGCTAGGGAAGGATGGGAATTTACAAGAAGGCTCCACTTCTTTTTGGTCCCTCCCTGTCACACACAATTCATCTTGTGCCCTCCTCCTTGTGGGCTTTTATTCACACCCTTTCCCAGCTGTTCCTCTCTTACCTGCCTCTCGACAAACCAGCCGCTTGCTGCTGAGTGAACGGAAAAACCCTGGAAGTCTGTAGTGTGCAGATGAGCCTGTAGGGGGTCCATTCCAGCACCCATAGAACTCAATGGAAACATTCCTATTAACTTCACTGGGCCTAGAACCAGGCTCTAAGAAGCAGATTTTTTCAAAACAACTCAGCTCCCATTTAATCATCTAAATATTGGCTACTCAACTGCTTCAAAGCAGGTGTGGCCTGATTTTCAACAGACCTCAACATCCAACTTGCTGAGCTCTGTGGAACATTTAGTTTGTGCCTAAATAGGAGACGATCTCTTTGGAAAAAAACTGGCTCATATTTATTAATTATTATCATTGTTATTCGTACTGCGGTAATGCCTCGGGGCCCCAAGGCCCCTCTGCACTAGGTGCTGCACAAGCATTGCTTTTCTCATTCCTCCCTCTTGCCGTTTTTGTTTTAAAAGGATCGCTCGGCCTGTCTCGACAAACTTCACTTAACAAAGCCATTTAGAGCTAGCTGTTCTCTGAGCCCTCTGTGTGGACAGCAGAAGTGACAGTGGGAGGAGTTTGTTGTGTTGTACTGGCAGACAGTTAATTAACGTCCTGTTCCTTCTCAGTTATGAAATTTGTGACGCTGAATGTCCAGATGCAGCTGTGAGAAGCACTCAGCACTGTGCCCTCACTCAGGGAGGTTTTTGTATTGGTCTGTATCACTGTGAGAGGGATATACTCTTGTTGGCAGTAATAATCTCCAGCATCTTCAGCTTCAACCCTGCTGATCGTGAGAGTGAAATCAGTCCCAGACCCACTGCCCCTGAACCGGGCTGGGACGCCTGATTGCAGGGTGGTTGCATGATAAATAAGGAGTTTAGGAGCTTGTCCTGATTTCTGCTGATGCCAGGCTAAGAGATCTTTGCCTGAAGAGCTACTGGTGAGGCTTGAACTGGCTTTGCAGCGGATGGTGACTGTGTCTCCTGGAGACACTGAGAGAGATTCTGGAGTCTGAGTCAGCACAATCTGCCCGATGGAATCTAGAAGTAAAGAGGAAATGAAGGAAATTGTAACATATCGATCAAAGAGTTATTGTTTTGTTGTGCAATACATTTTAATCTATCTTATTACACAGCATTAAATAAATCATCATTATATTATCTGTTACAACAACGAATGGATTATATTTACATAGTCATTGATGTTGTTGTTCTTTAAAGCTGGGTTTATTGTTTTTTCTTACCCTGAATCCAAAAAACTAGTATCCAGAGAAGCTGAGTGTGGAAGATCATTTTGGCAGTTCTGAGCCAGCAA